GGGGGGGGGGGGGGGGGGGGGGGCAATAACCCCCCCCTCCAACTACACGGGCGTCTAAGTTACTTAGAGCTTTGCGTGGACTAGTACCATTGTGGTTGGGTTTCGTACTACTACCATGACTACTGCTATGACTACTGCTGTTACTACTGAAACACTTCCATGCAACTACCATGATTTGGGCGTACCAAGTGGATGAAGGGTTCTACAAGGCCGAGGACGAGTAGATGCCGCGACCATAGCATCCATCCCCGGGGCTAAGAGAAAGCAGGAGCCTTCGGACAGCAGCCACTCGGCCCCCCGCAGGGCACCCATTTCGTAGCCTTTGGGCGGCCAGGCAGCAGGCTCGAAATGAAGGGATTCTTGGGATTTAGGGTTAGGGCTTAGGATGTGCCCGGAGCTGGAATAGGGATGCTTACTATGAACTGGGCAGATAGGACTTGCTCACTCTTGCAGAAAAACTACGAACCATTGGGCGTACTGGTCTCCGGGAGCCAAGGTTCAAGGTTAAGCTTGATGGTGGTTTCCGAAACTAGGGGGTACCTTACTGGGGTCCTGATTCAAAGGGAATCCTCCTATTTGGGGGGCTTTATTTAGGGTCCCCTATTGTCGTAAACCCCCTGATGATGAAGCTTGATGGTTGCTAGTTGCTGCTCATTCTTAGACCTGGGGGGTAGCTTCCGACGGGTCTTGCCGGTGCGGGCCTTCCACATCCAGCTTCAGCAGCTCCACAGTGGGGATGTCGCTGAGGTAGGCGCCAAAGATCTCATCCAAAGTCGTCAAGGCCACCTCCTCCTCAGCACTTCGGGGGGGTAAGGGCTTCCTGGGAACTGTGATGCTTTGGGGTTTAGGAGCCCTAAACCCTAAACCCGAAACCCGAAACCCTAAACCCCAAACCCTAAACCCACCCAGAGGGTTTGGAGGCTCAGGGCCAGCTACAACCTGCCTGCCTGCCTGTCTAAGCCGGGCCGAGTGGCATCCTCCATGTTGGGAGGTCCCGTCAGGTAGCCCTGGTCAGCGATGCTGCTGTAGTCGTAACGAACCGTCATGTTCAGGGAGCGCACCTGGTCCCGAAGTCAGCGGACTTTCAAGCCGGTTCCGGCGGGAAAAAAACGGGTTGCTAAGGTGCGTGTACTCTTTGCCCCAGTGCCAAGAGAGGGACGCGCTCACCCAATCCCGCCGTGAAGATGTAGCTATGGCCGATCCTGCAGAGCATCGCAGAGCCAAGGGATGCGCAGGGAAAGGTCACAAGGAAAGGTCACAGGAAAGGTCCCATCCCCAGAGAGCCTCTGCCGGCTACCGGCTGGAGCGATCTGCAGCCAGGGCATCCTGGGCACCTCAAGATACACGGTCAGCTTCCGCCGTGCTTCAGCGAAACCGTGCATAACGACTTTGAAGTCACGGCATGTCATGGCAGCCAGATCTGAGGCTTGTGCCGGCTCGCCCGGTGCAATGGGGAGGAAGCTGTATGCTTGGGCGATCGTGCCCTGCGGGTGGCCATGCTGATGCAGCTGGGCCGGGAGCCGCTCGTCGACCAGCTTCCGGTTCTCGCGCAGCGGCTCGAAGCCCAGCACCGTTGCTCCGGCCAGGATGCCCATCAGCGACCAGTCCGTGCCATCGAACACCCCGGCATCCACCAGGATCGCCCCAGGGCGCAGGTTCCGCGCCAACCGCAGGACCTGCCCCGAACCGCAAAACCCCTCCTCTGCTCCCTTTCGCCCTCCTCCTTTTTGAGACCAAAACCCAAAACTGAGGCCGGCGCAGAGTTGTTCGAGAAGTCTTGCGCAGGTGATGGACCTCCAGGGCCAGGGCCTATGGAACAACATAAATGATATGGCTAGTGGCGATTTGTAGTGTACCTGCAGTGTGATATGATATACCATAATACCAGACATCCTGCATGCTTCGGCGCTTTGGGATTTAGGGTTTCATAATAATCGGGTTTAGGGTTTGGGGTTTGGGGTTTGGGGTTTGGGGTTTGGGGTTTGGGGCTTGGGGCTTAGCACTTAGGGTTTAGGGTTTAGGGTTGTTACCCCATAATTGGACGGTGCGCCTTGCCACCCCCAGGCAGCAGCCAAGCCGCCCAAGTGCTCGACGCTGCCCTCCGGGCCTTTTCGAAAGGGTTGCCTCGGCTGCCCACAAGAAACTCGGGAGAGTTTAAGGGTTTAGGGGTTTAGGGTTTAGGGTTTAGGGTTTAGGGTTCAGGGTTTAGGGCAGACCTCAAACCCGAAAGCACCAGAGCATGCATGAGCTGTGGGAAGCCAAGATTATTCCGGCGAGGGTCTTTGCGTAGCCTCGAATACAGTTCGAAGCCCCTAAGCAAGCCACAAAGCAAAACATTCCGAATATGTCTGGCCCTCGTGCCCAAAGCCTAAACCCTAAACCCGAGACCCTAAACCCAAATTCCTAAACCCTAAACCCTAAACCCTGAACCCTAAACCCGAGACCCTAGACCGTTGCGGTCGCGCCACAGGATCGAAGGCAGCGTGGGGCAGGCGGGCGGGAGGCGCCAGGGGTCCGTGAGCAAAGGAGCCGCATGCTGGCCAGCCTGCCAAATTAGCCTGGCCATGGTTCCCTAAACCCTAAACCCTAAACCCCAAACCCTAAACCCCAAACCCTAAACCCTAAACCCTAACCCTAAACCCCAAACCCTAAACCCTAAACCCTGAACCTAAACCCTAAACCCTAGACCCTAAACCGGATACTCAGGGTCGAGGGCCTCAAGGGGTGAGGGACTCCACCTCTTGATCTGTGTACCCTCTCCTCTCCTGGTTTTGCAGCACGGCTCTTGCACCACAAGGTGTCAACCGCATGTACTACACATTCTAAGTAGTTCAGGGTTTAGGGTTTAGGGTTTGGGGTTTAGGGTTTAGGGTTTACTGTATGATCTTAAATTGTGCACGTGCTAGACTCCCAGATCTTTTCTGGCACCACATGCTCAAAAACCGGGAAGTGCAGCGGAGGAGCTGCAGCTGGTCCATCAGCCCGAAGAAAGGCCAAGAGGACTGTCCTCGCAAGCTTCGACTCTGTCCGGCTCTATCTAACCGGCGAGTCCTGGGCTCTTTCTGAAGAAACCCCCTGTTCTAAGGGGTCCGATCTGCATGCAGAGGGGCTTTGGGGTTTAAACGGTGTAAACAGTCAGGGCTCCAGGTTTAGGGGGCATTGGGAATGTGGCTTTGCGTCTCCGATGCTGCTTGGATGCGCCCCAGAATCCCAACTGGAGTATAATTTTGGGCTCGACCCTGCAACAGCCACCTTCAAGCATCAACCCCCCCCTGCCCGAAAAAAGACAAAGCACGCCTCCGAAAAACCAGAAAAACTTTCAAACGGGACTTGTGCCGCGGTGCCCGCTTTGAGCGCCAACGGATTGAGCTCACGAGCCGCCCGGCTCGCAAGGTCCAGAAGGGATACCTTGCGGTTCAGCTTAGGAACTGTTTAAGGGAGTCTAGGCAGCTAGGGGTTAAGGCGATTGAGGTTTAGGTCTCAAGAATTTCTCGAGGGATTAGGAGCTAAAGCTTCACAGCCGAAGCACACGCCGCTCCTCCATGACGCGGGACAGGTACAGTATCATCGAGAGAAAGCCCTCGACGCATTCCCTGTAGTTGGCCTTGTACCACTCCTTGGCCCATGATGCTTGGATGCTAGTTCTGGTGCTGGTAGTGATGGTGGCAGTGTTGGTCGCTTTGACAAGCAGCAGTAGCAGTAGATAGCAGTAATAGTGGTTGCAGCGCAGCAAGCAGCAAGCACCTCCTTTCCAAGCACCTTCCGACTTGACATGTTGACTGAAGGTCTCAGAGGGGCGGTGGGGGATGGGAAGGTCGGGAAAGCCACCGTACATTCCAACATGTACAGCATTCTTGCTGCGCGACAGCTTTATGGAGACTGGAGCGTTCAGCTTTTCAGAGCCGCGCAGGACGTGTGCTCTCCTTCTTTCCGTAATGAGACTGGGAAATTGGGGAGGCGCGGGGGAGTAATCCCTAATCCCTAAACCCTAAACCCTAAAACTGTAAACACTAAACCCTACTACGTGCCACGTGCCTTGTGCAAACTCGAAATTCCGCATAGACCTGAACCCTCAACCCTTAGCCCTCCATGCTACAGCCTCGAGCTGCGATATGTTCCTAACATGTTCCTAACAGGGTTTAGGGTTCAGGAAAGAGGACGGCGTCTTGTAAACCCAGAGAGGATGGGAGTCCCACCGTTTAACGCAAAGAGGTCTCAGGGGCCTTCCCCACCTGCAACAAGCAAGGGGCCACCCAGGAGTTAAAACGACCCCAAGTACCTCAACTGGCTGGTTCTTAGGACGGAACGTGGGAATGAGGTACCCTGTATAATCCCTTACAGGGTATATATATATATAGAGAAAGAGAGAGAGAGAGAGAGAGAGAGAGAGAGAGAGAGAGAGCCCTAGTTCCCTCATTCCCTGCGAAGAGCCAGGGGGACCTCCTTAAACCAGATACATGGATATTGTGCCAGCTCAAATATTCACACAACTTGACCCCACTGTAACAGCACCCACGTTCAGAACCAAAATCGCCGTACCGTCGAAAGAGCCCTGCGATTGAAAGGCAGACATTCTCAATGGTTTTCGTTTATACCCCCCCCCCCCCCCCCCCGCCCTTTCCGATGAAAAAGTCCCAGGCTCGAAGAGCTCAGACTGGGTGATGTCCAGCATGCGCGGGCTGAAGACCTCCCAGAACTCCTCCCACTGGTGGACTCTTGGCGTTCTCCACTCGAGAGAAAGAAGAGAAAGAAGAGAAAGAAGAGAAAGAAGAGAAAGAAGAGAAAGAAGAGAAAGAAGAGAAAGAAGAGAAAGAAGAGAAAGAAGAGAAAGAAGAGAAAGAAGAGAAAGAAGAGAAAGAAGAGAAAGAAGAGAAAGAAGAGAAAGAAGAGAAGGGAAAGAAGAGAAAGAAGATAAAGAAGAGAAAGAAGAGAAAGAAGAGACAGAAGAGAGAACGGAGAGAGAAGAGAGAGAAGAGAGAGAAGAGAGAGAAGAGAGAGGAGAGAGAGAGAGAGAGAAGAGAGAGGAGAGAGAGAAGAGAGGGAAGAGAGAGAAGAGAGAGAAGAGGGAGAAGTCTTCGCGAGAAGAGCGAGAAGAGTGAGGGAGAGAGAGAGAGAGAGCGAGAGAGAGAGCGAGAGCGACAGAGCCTAGATCCGTCCGTACCCCTCAAGAGCTCCCCCAAGAGCCCCGAACCTCAGCCTTGGTTTCAGAGCTTCCCACCACAACTGCCAATTCTAAGACCTCCGCAAACTTCTGCCACGGGCCACAGGCCCATCAACAGCCTGTGCCTCTCCCCAAAGCCTACAACAGAGACCCACTTCTCAAGATCAAGATCACGCAAACCTAAAGCCGTCCTCAAACCCCAACAACCCCAACAACCTTCAACCGTCCAAAATGGGATGTTCTCCCTTATACTAACAGTCCTTAATTGGGAGTATCGTAGGGGGTACTTTCATCCCTATTCAGGGCTGTTAGTGTAAGGGGGAACATAACCTCAAAACCCGTCCCAAGCAGAGAGCTCTCCTGGTTCTCGGATGCCTCGGCCAGTGCTCCGTAGAGTTTTGCCCAGCTCTCGCCCTCGCAGCTCCGGCCCTCGCTGGGCCTACAGCTTGGGCTTCAGGGCGGCTTTCAGGCGGCTTTCAGGGCGGCTTCAGCCGGTTTAGGAAGTTCTTAGGTTGGAGAGACTTAACATGGTTCAAAGGAGGGTCGAAGGTGCTGTGCCACGATGTGCAATGCTTCCTGCCCCTGCCCTCCACTCGAACCCTTCGCAGGAGTGTCAGGGTCTTACGGATGTCGAGTGCGAAGGGTTGCATGGTTGTGGCTCTGGGTAGCTACTCATACTCGAAGGTTCATGGGTAGTTGTAAGTAGGGTTATAGGTATGGTAACTATCCCTACAGCCCCACTTTGTGTACTCACAACCCTACTCATGGCTACCCATGAACCTATTGCGCAAGCCCAACCCTAAGCCAAACTTGAGGGCGGCACCTGAGGGCATGGAGAAGCAGCGGCAAGAGAACATGCCTCACCAGGTTGCAAAGCTGAAGCGTACTTGCTTGGGCCCTAAACCCTAAACCCTAAACCCTAAACCCTGAACCCTAAACCCTAAACCCTAAACCCTAAACCCTTGTTTGCAAAGCCTTCTTGCCTTATTGCCTTCTTGCATCTGGCCAGTTCTCCAAGTCCAGGTCCCTTCTTTGGGCCCTATCTCAATACGGCACCTTCATCAACAGGGACCCTGATTTAGAAAACTACCCTTACGGGGGTTTGCGAAAATAGGGAGCCCCTAAAAAATAGACCCCCAAATAGTAGGGCTCCCTTATAATCTTATAAGAAGGGACCCCAATCCCAAACCCTGAACCCTGAACCCTGAACCCTAAACCCTAAACCCTAAACCCTGAGGAAACCACCCAGATGCACACCTAAAGCCACCAACCCAACGCCGAAGTCGCGCGCCTTCCCCGCTTCCAAGGCCACGCCATGCCATGAGACACAAGTTTAGGGCTTAGGGCTTAGGGTTTAGGGTTTGGGGTTTAGGGTTTAGGGTTTAGGGTTTAGGGTTTGGGGTTTGGGGTTTAGGGTTTAGGGTTGGGGTTTAGGGTTTGGGGTTTGGGGTTTAGGGTTTGGGGTTTGGGGTTTGGGGTTTGGGGTTTAGGGTACTTCTTAAACGAACTCATAGCCCAATTATAACCCTATTAGGGCACTTCAGGGGCTTATAAGTACAGTTATAATTGGCCAATAGGTACCATGAACCTCCAAGTACTCTCTCTTGGTGGCTTTGTGTGGCCCCTTTGGAGGTGCTCTTAGGGTTCGGAGTTTGGGGTTTAGGGTGCTCTTAGGGCCTTTGAGAGGCGATTGCGTTTCGCTTTCGGGCAGAGTCGAGGATGTTCGGCGTGGCGCGTTTGGACCGGCTTCAGACGACTTCGGGGCTTTCTTAGTCAATGTTCGGCTTCAGTTAGAGGCAAGCCTGGGCCTGAGGGGCTGAGAGCTGCGGAGAGAACGAGCCCTGACGAAGTTGAAGGTCGACTCCAGGTGATATGGGTGTAAGGGGGTAAAAAAGGCGAGCATGGTGAGCATCAGTGGCCCCTTGCTGGGCGTGAGGGGCCCGTCAAGAGAGGGGGCCCACACGGCCAGCACGACAGCATCAGTTGGCCCCTCAGTTGGTCTGATGATCAGGTGGCTTCCTACATCTTACCGCCTCACTTCACGTTGTTGCCCCCGTGCCGACGGGGTCAATGCTGTGCGAGCTGATACGCGTCTTCACTGCTTCCAAGCAACTGCAGGGAGGTGTAGGGTTCAGGATGGAAGTTGGGGAAGGCAAGCAACGCAAAGTTCGGTCCAAGGACTCCCTTGCGAGCCCTTGCGAGCCCTTGCGATGAGTCCTGACTGAGGCTGGCACGGCTGTCCGCTCAGAACGTCCTTGAGGACCTGCACCCTGGGCGACACGCGAACGTCCGCAAAATGCCGGCCTTCCAACAGGCCAACCTCCCTCAAGCTCGACTTACGCTATCTGAGTCTCGACTTGGGATGCTCCCCCTTTTCCCAACAGTCCTTAATAACAGGGATTCTACTACCCCCAGCTATAATCCCTATTAAGGACTGTTAGAAAGATGGGGGACCTCCCAAGGCTCGACCCTGTCGGACGTGGAGCCCACTAAGCCCTGCCCCTGCCGTACCATCTGCGGGCCCAACATGTTGGCCCAGGGCGGCAGGTCCTCGACAGAAGCTTAGGACTGTAAGAAGGGCCTACGGAACAGAAGCTTAGGGATATACAGCAGCACTACACCATTACACCAAACCCAAATGGCCCTCATCCCAAGAGAACCTGCAGCCAACGCCTTGCACCATCCTGGAACCGACTGAAACATATCACAAGTCCACAAAAGGGCTTGAAAGAAGCCCGTGAAAGCCTTTCCGCCCCACCATCCTTCAAGATCAAGACATCTAAGCTGAGGGATCCACTAGCGGTTGAAGTTCAGGGTTTAGGGTTTAGGGTTTAGGATTTAGGGTTTCGGGCTTAGGTTTAGGGTTTAGGGTTTAGGGTTTAGGGTTTAGGGTTTAGGGTTTAGGGTTTAGGGTTTAGGGTTTAGGGCTTAGGGCTTAGGGCTTAGGGCTTAGGGCTTAGGGCTTAGGGCTTAGGGTCTAGGGTTTAGGGTTTGTGTTTGATGCGAAGCTTGACCACTGAAGCGGAAACTCCGGACCCGAACCACCGCCCCCGAAACCCTAAACCGTGAACTAGTTCGTCTTCATAAGGTACCTGACTCCCTAAACCCCAAAAACCCAAATGCAGGAAGATGCCAGTGTCCTCCTCCTTGGCACCATCCTCGCGAGGGCCCGAGCTGCCACCCTGGAACAGGAGGGTTTAGGGTTTAGGGTGTAGGGTTTAAGGGTGTGCTAAGGGTTTGCTGAACATAAATTGCAACAACTGTTTCTGTCATTACCACTATCGCCAACTCACGCTGTTCTTGTTACCACACTGCCACGTTGACTGTCCTCAGGGTCAGGGTCCATCACAACCCCCCCAACGGCAGACCACTTTGTGAAAGCCATCTGTCTGTCGGCCGACCCCCAGACCAGCAGTTCGGAACGGTAAACCCTAAACCCTAAACCATCCTAAACCCTCAACCCTCAACCCTCAACCCTCAACCCTCAACCCTCAACCCTCAACCCTCAACCCTCAACCCTCAACCCTCAACCCTCAACCCTAAACCAACCACCCAAACAAGCATGGGACCCCACATCGGAGGAGCCAGGAGCTGGGTCCCACGCAAGGGCCACTGCTGCTGCACCCAACCTGGGTGAACTTCATGTTGTCGGGCTTTTCGGCTTGACTCCCAAGGTGACTTCGAGACCACGCCATGAACTTCAAAACTGAGGACGTGGCAAGACGACGGCCAACGCAGCAACGGCAGCTACAGGGAAGCCTGTCGCGCGACGGCAAACATCGCACGCTCTTCTCAAGGCATCCAAAGAGTCTAGACCCTCCCCAGAGGGCAGCAAACGTGGGCAGAAACCGTTTGCATCTGTCTGGTCCGCAAGGAGAACTTCAGCACCTCAGGGGACCGCAGAGCGCAGGCTTCCTCAAGCTGCACCATCCAATCCAATGGTCCGGAAACTCGGGCTAGGCGACTTGGGATTCTTGCTGTGCCCATATTCTGGCAAGTAATACCATATCTCAAGATGATGAACCTCAACAAAACCTTAACAAGAACCCCAGAATGTACGAGACCCCCCCCGACGTCCCATGGTCGCTGTGGGGGTCTTTAGCCCCTTCAGCCCCGCACCCTCGAAGTCGAGGCTGAACGCGTGTCGTTGTCCTCCCCGCATCGATGGCGTCTGCTGCGACGCCTGCAGGTTTTGGGGCTTGAGGGGTTGGCGATGGGGATGTTCTCCGTTTTTGTCGCTAATAGGGATGACAATAGGGGGTACTGGAAGCCCCATTGAGGACTGTTGGTAATGGGGGGGAACATCCCAAGTTGGAGATGTTCGGGGTCGTGGTGGTTTCAGGGCTTCAAGGGCCACACAGAAAACAAACATTGCCAAACCTGCAACGACACTTGGCGTGCTTCAAGCTTCACGAGAGCGACGCCGCAAGCCGCGGCACAACAAAGAACGCTAAAAAAAAAACAGCAATATGAAAAACCAAAAAAAAAAAATATATATATATATATATATACATATATATATATATATACGTATATACGTATATACGTATATCTGGCCTGGAGCCCCGACGTGAACTTTGTAGAAGCCTTGGGCGGGATGTTTCAACTCAAGACTCTGCCGTTTCTTCGGCCGCCAGGTTCTTCTTAAGAGCTCCCTCATACGCACATGCCCCCAGTAAGCTCAGCTTGCGACCACAAAACAGGCATGAGACAATCCTGCAGGGGACGTCAGGACAGTTTTCTTTGCACTCGACCAGCTGGTGATCCATGATTTACCGAACAGTTCCGGCAGTGGCCGCAACCTTTTCCACACACTGGCCCAGAGGTCCATTGGCCTCCAATGCAGAGACCCACGGCCACAAGTGCCAGGCTCGGCAGGAGCACGGACCTGCCCCGCCACCTTCAGACAACAAATTCACCCCGGATTGCGCCCCAAAGATCAAACATGTCACCACCCAACAAACCCACAAACATACAGAAAACAGCAGACTCTTGGCCTCGCCATGGCGACAGATGCCCTTCTCAAGCCAACCTTAGATCACAGTTCCAACCAAGTCCTGATTTGGGGACAATACAGCATCAACATCATGAATCGATACCACCTCAGGTGACAAACCACGCTTGCCATTTAACAACATCACGCAACTTGCGAAACAACCGAAACGCTTAGATCTTGCGCTGCCGAGCCACTATGCGATGCTCGCAGCCCGCGGAGCTACTTGACACCAACGGCGAATGGAGGGAGGTTGGCAGTGCATCTCTCTGCTGTGTCATGCTTTGCCCAGCTTGCTCCTGCGCATCAGAAATTGGAAAGAAAATGGGAAATCTACCAGCGACGGTTTTGGAAGTCATGGCACGAAGTTCCCCCCAATCGGTTGACTACGAACGCCAGCCCTCAAACTCTGCTTCTCAGCAGCCGATGCCACTTTCGCCCGGTTCGGGGAGCAACTTACCGTGGCTGAAGTGTGCCAGCTCTCGTTCCGCGGGGTAATAAGTTGTTGAGGCATTCGGGTCAGCCACTCACACCCATGTTGTAGAGGCAGTGTTGAACGAACAAAAATGTTTGATTTTCAGCGGAGGTATATTAGGGCACTTATGGCGCTTATAAGTGGGTTATAAGTACAGTTATAATTGGTTAATAAGTGCCATGAACCTCCAAGTACTCCTGCAGAATAATACATTGCCGCTACGAGTACGTGGTCAACACCTCGGATTGGCATCTGCCTCTGTCCAGCAACGCTGCATGCCCGACCAGTGAGGGAGATCGACTGCCGACGCAAACCCTGGTCCCCAACGACTACTACAAAGACCCTAAACCCTAAACCATGTTGTGTCCCATTGAGTCCCATTGAGTCCCATTGGGTCCAAGTGCAACACCCTTTGCTTAGGTTACGACTTCAGCCTGCAGGAGGTGCATGTTGCAGTTGGCCCATCATTCACGGCAAGTCCCCTTCATGGCGGCAAAACAGGACATAGCTTCATCATGTTTCATCCAAGCAAAGTTCGAAGATTCGAAGTTTGGCTGCTGTGTAAACACTGTAAAACCAATCTGCCGGCACATCTTTTAGATCACACGGCGTCAAGTGCAGCAGCCCAACATTGAGAGCACCTGAGCAAGATGTTAGCACCCACTGAAGAGTTCTGAAACGGACCTCGTGACTTACTGTGCTGACATATTGCAACATGGGTGCGTGGTTCAGTGTGACTCGTAGAGATCAGCTCGTGCCTCAGAGAAGGGGCTGTTGACTTCACCGGACAACAGGACCCCAGTTGCGGTAGAAATGCCAAGCAATAGCCGAGCAGCCGTGGGCTGGCAAGACTCCAACCCTGCGCCGGCTGAAACTGCCGTGCACCTGCAGGTCCCGGCATCTCCCAGCCATAGCAAACTATCGCCCATGAAAGCATCTCAAGCTCTTTCAGAGGGGGTTCCTCATGTCGACCTATCCCACCCATATGAAGCTAGGCACTGCATGGCATGGATGGCATGGGAATGCCTCGTAGATGTCCTTTCAGCACTTCCAGGAACGCAGGCTGGCCCGGCCGGCCCGTGTCCTCAGGTGAGCAGGCTGCGCTTCACCCAAACAACGTTGCTGGCAAGACGTCATTACAACTGTACTTATAACTGTACTTCAAATCATATTGGGGCACTTAAGGGGCACTTAAGGGGCACTTAAGGGGCTTAGATGTGGGTTCTAAGCACAGATCTCCTTGGTTAATAAGTACCTTTGGCGCAAGACTTGGCATGACATGGCCGCGGATCTCCAACCAAGACGTCAGCTCCACGGCGCAAGGCAGACACGCATCCTCACTTGCGACAAAGGGCCATTTGTGCTGTGAAGGAAGAAGCGCTTGTAGCAACAGTGCACATTCATGCTTTTTGGCCAAGAGGTTGGGCAGCAATAGTACGAGAAGACGAAGCTGTGAAGGTCTTGCTGCATAACTTTCATGGCGAGTCGAAAAGAGCAACTTATTGCCACGTAACGCCTTTAACTGCAAAGGCTATGTTTCGACAAAACATTGGTTCTCGTGTAGACATCTGCTCACTTTCCCAAGCCTGCCGCGAGCGCCTGCGATGTTGATCGCAAGTATAGCAGGTCAGCCGCCACCACAATGTCCTTTGAGGAGCTTGGCACGGCGAAACATCTGCGCAAAGCAGATAGGGAAAGCCAGGGTCAAACAGAAATGCTTGTGCAGGCCCTTCGTTGTCGAGTGTCCGCGTCGGGCCAATCGTCCTTCGTGAAGTCGAGAAGCGCCGTCTCTATCGCCAGGCTCTGGCCCAGCTGCTTCTCATTTAAGGTCACGGCCTGCAAAAAAAAAACTTGAGGCAAGTCCAAAACCCTGACATATCCCGACATATCCCGACACGTGGGAAAGCCGCAGCTCGGACCTGTTGTAGGAGCTCCAAAGGCTCCACGCGATAATCCGTGGCCAGCGCCTGATGCCCTGCAGCAGCTGCAGCCAGAGAGCAGAGCCCCGTGCCAGCGCCAAGCTCCAACACTCGCTTTCGCCCCTCCTAGCGGTGCGCAGCCCCCTTTCATACCTGCATACTTCTACTGCAGCAATGGCGGCAGCAGCAGCAGCAGCAGCAGCGTGCCAGCTTCACAAAGTCACAAAGCTGAAAACGGACAATTGCAGGCCCAATTGCTTCCCATGTGTTTAGAAGCTGCTTTCCTTGCCCGTCGTGAAGGCACCAAGCAGCCCCAGCAAGGCTCCAGCGACAACCTGCGCAGCTGGCCAAAGCACGAGGCCGTAAGGATCACCTCAGAGATTGCGTCACAGAGAAGGAGAGAGCGAGAGAGAGAGTAAAAAAAATGTAACCAAGGAAAAAGAGCAAGAGCGGATCGGCCGTATGCCTGCACGCGGTTGAAAAATTGTCGCTTTTCGCTTGGCTCGGTGGACCATGCCGAGCTTCTACCCGCCGAGGCCGTCGGCTGCTCCAGGGCATCCTCGACAAACTGCTCCTCAGCCAAACAATGTTTAGGGTTTAGAGTTAGGGTTTCAGGGTACTGCTGCTTCCTCAGGGCAATCGTCTTGCCACGACTGTGCCGCTGTGCCGGCCGAGCATCTTGCTGTAGGAGTGTGGCCTCAAGCACCGAAATGGCCAAATCCTGCTCACGACTTAGCTTTTCATGACCTCCGTCCGTAGTGACCCTTGCGGACCTTGCTGAGTGCCCTATTCCCAAACGCCTCCTGCACCGGGACACGCACATGCGTGCAGCCACCCAAGCTGCCTCAAGTGGGATGCCAAAGCTGCTAAAGCCCGCACCGCAGAGCACTGTGCAACGGTCATATCCGTAGACGAGCATGCGGAAGCCTTTCATGCCCTTGGCATTGTATGTACTCTCTGTGAAAGACACAACAGCCATGATCAGCCAACAATGACCTACACATGCATGTCCATGTTACCGTCTGCTGAAATTACGATAGTTTGCGGCACTAATACTGATGCAGTGTGCACTGATGTTCGAGGTTTGTTTATATCGCAGAATCACATGGCACGCAGTCACACAGCTACAGCTACATACCGCTATGGCATCAGGGGTGCAACTCTTGAAAGAAAAAACACGCGATGCCGACATGTTTCATACGTATCACATGCCACAATGCTAGGTCATGCACTTTTCTCAGGTTCTTTCCCCGTCCGACACAGCAAAAAAAAACACACGCTCTTTACAGTGCTCCATCATCGCCAGGGTGCCCACCACTTTGGGCGCAGGAAGCGGGCCAACAGCAATGCCTAAGCTAAACTCAAGCTTGACAGAACCACCTGGATGTGGCCAGTCCAAAGCGGAACTTGGATGACACCACTCAGGTGCCGCAAAGCTGCAACTGCTGGGACAAAGCGTTGAGACCATCATGCATCTGAACCAGGTGTGCCCACCAAGAGGCCGCCCCATTGCATAATCAAGTTTTTGTTTCAACAGTGTGCTTCCGTGTCTGTGTGTGATAAAAGCCACCTCTGTGGCAATGGCGCTGCTGCTGAAGCTGTGCACAACTTGTTGGGAAAAGTGCGGCTTGCCAAGTATCGAAATCCATCGATATGTTCTAGTGTATGCTTTGCCCGGGTATCCCACCTCACGGCGACTGATGTGACTGTTTGCCGTCGCAATGCATGCAACAGTTTGCCGCATGCGTGAAGTTCGCAGGAGCCAACATTTGCAAAGACACAAACAAGCATACAAGCAGCAACACGAATTTGGTTTCCCCACAGTTCCCACATCACCGTGGGTTTTTTTTATTTTTAGCTCTGCACTCCGCCTGCCCGTTTGCCCGCCTTCCACCCACCTTCCTCCTCCTCCCGCATGCCGCACCCGCCTCGCACCGGCCCTTCACCGCTCTCCATACCACGCTCTGCACCGAACTGTGCTCTCCGCTCTCTGCTCTTCGCTCGCGCCCCCGGCACGGCACCGCTCTCCGCTCTCCGCTCTCCGCTCTCCGCTCTCCGCTCTCCGCTCTCCGCTCTCCGCTCTCCGCTCTCCGCTCTCCGCTCTCCGCTCTCCGCTCTCCGCTCTCCGCTCTCCGCTCTCCGCTCTCCGCTCTCCGCTCTCCGCTCTCCGCTCTCCGCTCTCCGCTCTCCGCTATCCGCTCTCCGCTCTCCGCTCTCCGCTCTCCGCTCTCCGCTCTCCGCTCTCCGCTCTCCGCTCTCCGCTCTCCGCTCTCCGCTCTCCGCTCTCCGCTCTCCGCACTCCGCTCTCCGCTCTCCGCTCTCCGCTCTCCGCTCTCCGCTCTCCGCTCTCCGCTCTCCGCTCTCCGCTCTCCGCTCTCCGCTCTCCGCTCTCCGCGCTCCGCTCTCCGCTCTCCGCTCTCCGCTCTCCGCTCTCCGCTCTCCGCTCTCCGCTCTCCGCTCTCCGCTCTCCGCTCTCCGCTCTCCGCTCTCCGCTCTCCGCTCTCCGCTCTCCGCTCTCCGCTCTCCGCTCTCCGCTCTCCGCTCTCCGCTCTCCGCTCTCCGCTCTCCGCTCTCCGCTCTCCGCTCTCCGCTCTCCGCTCTCCGCTCTCCGCTCTCCGCTCTCCGCTCTCCGCACTCCGCTCTCCGCTCTCCGCTCTCCGCTCTCCGCTCTCCGCTCTCCGCTCTCCGCTCTCCGCTCTCCGCTCTCCGCTCTCCGCTCTCCGCTCTCCGCGCTCCGCTCTCCGCTCTCCGCTCTCCGCTCTCCGCTCTCCGCTCTCCGCTCTCCGCTCTCCGCTCTCCGCTCTCCTGCTCTCCGCTCTCCGCTCCGCTCTCCGCTCTCCGCTCTCCGCTCTCCGCTCTCCGCTCTCCGCTCTCCGCTCTCCGCTCTCCGCACTCCGCTCTCCGCTCTCCGCTCTCCGCTCTCCGCTCTCCGCTCTCCCGCTCTCCGCTCTCCGCGCTCCGCTCTCCGCTCTCCGCTCGTCCGCTCTCCGCTCTCCGCCTCTTCCGCTCTCCGCTCTCGCTCTCCGCTCTCCGTCTCCCGCTCCTCCCTCCGCTCTCCCTCTCCGCTCTCCACGCTCTCCGCTCTCCGCTCTCCGCTCTCCGCTCCTCCGCTCCTCGCTCTACCGCTCTCCGCTCTTCCGCATTCATCCCGCTCTCCGCTCTCCGCTCTCCGCTCTCCGCTCTCCGCTCTCCGCTCTCCGCTCTCCGCTCTCCGCTCTCCGCTCTCCGCTCTCCGCTCTCCGCCGCTCTCCGCTCTCCGCTCTCCTCTCTCCGCTCTCCGCTCTCCGCTCTCCGCTCTCCGCTCTCCGCTCTCCGCTCTCCGCTCTCCGCTCTCCGCTCTCCGCTCTCCGCTCTCCGCTCTCCGCTCTCCGCTCTCCGCTCTCCGCTCTCCGCTCTCCGCTCTCCTCTCTCCGCTCTCCTCTCTCCGCTCTCCTCCGCTCTCCTCCGCTCTCCACCGCTCTCCACCGCTCTCCACCGCTCTCCACCGCTCTCCACCGCTCTCCACCGCTCTCCACCGCTCTCCACCGCTCTCCACCGCTCTCCACCACTCTCCACCACTCTCCACCGCTCTCCACCGCTCTCCACCGCTCTCCACCACTCTCCACCACTCTCCACCACTCTCCACCACTCTCCTCCACTCTCCTCCACTCTCCTCCACTCTCCTCCACTCTCCTCCACTCTCCTCCACTCTCCTCCACTCTCCTCCACTCTCCTCCACTCTCCTCCACTCTCCTCCACTCTCCTCTGCTGTTTTTGCGGGGCCCATGCTGAGAAATGAGACTTGTCTCATGTGACCTGTAAGCCACTTTCGTAAGCTGGGTAAGAAACCACGAGCGGAAACGGACAACACCGATTTCTTGCACCAAACCATGCAACCCAAGCAAAGAAGGCTTGTTGGAGCATCATGCCAAGTGGCTGAAGATTCTTGCTAGACATGTTCAACCATGGGGCCACGCCGCAAGGTTTGCGCACATACGTCATCAACAAAACTAACCTCGAGCTTAACCCTTTAGCCCGAGACCCTTGCCGCTTCACCCTTGTCCTCACCTAACCTAACTAGGGGGTCAGACCTAGCCTTGGATCCTTCCCGCTTTAACCTTTGATGATTTATTGTTCTTGCCATCGACAGCGTTTGGGTGTGGGTAGAATGTGCAAGAATCCCGGGAGCGCAGTGTTACTGAGAGATCCTTCTTTGCGGGCTGGGATGCTACATCAGCGGAAGATTAGCGGAAGTAGGTGCCCTGAAAACCCAACTTGGAAGTACCTAGGTCTTGACAAAGAGAGCATCATCAAACTCGACATGCCCGAAACCGTGTGCAGGTGTGAACTCGTATTTCTACTCGGGTATCCTACAGTAAACATAGGTGCCTTACGATCCTCAGCGACGTCACCAGGAGAACTGGAGTGAAACAATGGTAGCTCATCATTTGGTGATCTCAACGTGTCGCCGTGTCGACTCTTGCTGGGGCTCTGCAGCCAGCCATATACGATAGAGCAGACTATCAAACAATGTATGCTGCACTGACCTGAAGTACGGCAACAAAACTCCAGTCTGCAGGTTGATGGAGCGAATGTCTCGGATCCTTATATACATATATATACACACGAGGACTTTCTGTCTTGCCTATCGCATGCTTCAGACGCCACACTCAGCATTCAATTGCAGGATACCACCGAGTGCTATACAGTACGCTGCATTCACTGCTGTAGACAATTGCGGTGTAATGAACTCTGGGATGCCTCCCCAAAATCTGGAATTTACCATCTTGTGTGTTCTGACGCCTGCGACCAGGCAAAGTGAGGAGCGCCGCGAAGAGCGGAAGCGAGCACGTCGCCTGGCCATTCAGCAATGCCCGCCGCCTTATTTACGAGAACGGCCCACGAGCAAGAGATTTCCACGCTGAGTCTTTGTAGTTGCCCGTCTTGTTTAACGGGCCTCGCCAGGATGAAAGGAACTTGGCTGTTGCTCCATTCTCTTGTCCGGGGAAAGCCGGGCAGATTTTCATCGCCACAATGCCAAGATATAGAACAGTGCAACTGTCGAGCCATTAAAGTCTCTTCCTTTCAAAGCGATGCATTTCGCTGGCAGCCTCTTTCCGGCAAACCGGACAGCAACAGCTTTCTGTTTTCACGACGAGTTGCTTTCAGCATGGCGTGCGAAGGTTGGAAGACCACGAAACAAAATCACAATCGGGAATGTATCGGTGCTAAGCCGCCGTGGTCCTCCGAAGCAGCAGAGCCTCTTCGAGTGGACTGCACACTTCCACCTGACCTGCAGCAAGCGTTTGGGCGCTGTGCGCAACTGGACAGCTCCTCTCGGGCATGTCGCGAGAGCTGGCTGAGAGGTGAAAGAGACATCAGCACCACGCGTGCTATCCCGCCTGACTGTAGTGTTCTGTAGGAACTGCCAAGGACCTCTGCTTTTGGTCACGAGAGATCCTGTGCACAGGAACCTCTGGCTTTGTGAACATAGGCTACGCATGTTGCGTCAAGCCTGCTGTTCAGGCAGCTCTGCAGCTGCGCGCCGGCCTAAAAAGGCTCAGACTTTGCAGATGTGCCTCAGCCGTGCAAAAATAAACATGTGCGACTCGAAGCGTTTGTGCCAGAATTTTGTGTTCTTTGTTTTATGTGCCTTTTGGAGGTTTGGGAAGCATGTCTCGTGTTGTCTTGTGAAAGATCGGCTCCAGACCTTGGCTGACGAGTTTCTTGCCTGAACGGTTTTCAAATTTGCAGCCCTGAGCTGCACTTTGTCCTCGAAGATTCTGGCCTTGGAGCCAGATTGAACTCGTTCGCCCCTGCAGAATGCTGTTTGCGTGGTTGATGGTGGTTCACTGCAAATGGTTTAGCTTCTTGGCTGAAAATGCCTGTGTGTTCTGAACTACTTGCTCTGGACCTGCTGCCGATGGAATCCACCCCTAAAGCCTAAGCTAAAAAGCAAGCAGGCACGCCAAAAACTGGAAGCCGGCACGCAGGTCTGAAGCCGCATCAACAACGGTTTTCCAGTCTTGGCGCCTAAACTTGGCAAGCAAGGTAAGTGTGGCCGTGCAAAAGCAGAAAGCAGGCTGTGAAAGACTACACACAGGCGGCACACTATTCTACAGCAACAAGGATTTGTGTGGTGATTCTCATCCCTGAGCTTGCTCGATTTGATGGCTGTGTTTGTTGATAGTGTTCTTTTGTGTGTTTGCATATCAGTGCGCTTGCGTGTTGGTCCCCTATGTGGTGCTCGCTTGCATATTCATTTGTGTGTCCGTCGAGATACCGTGGAGCGTGAAGCCGTTCGTCTTAAGTGGGGTGCACGCCATGCACGAGGGATTGGCAGGCACCCTTTGTTACTGCATTAGGAGGGGCACTATTGAACGTGGCGTCAATGCACTGGCCGACATGCTGGCATCTTGGTGTTGCGCGATCGTCCTCGGTGGAGCATCGTGCTCCTTCTGCATCTAGCGCGCGCTTCTAAAACTGTCCCCCAATGCTAAAACCCTACCGGCTTTTCAGCGGACAGTACGG